CCGTTGCGCTAGCGTGGCTCTTGAGCCGACCGGCTGAATACTTTCCGCCATCTTTCTTAGACTTTCCAAGCAAAATGCCAATTGGATTGCCACTCAGATCAATTTCTAGGCGTCCACTATTGACGCACATCGCCTTGCCAATGGCCGCGGCTCCATCGGCTTGCACGTGACAACTTCGTAGTTCCAGATATCGCAGTTTACCAGTCGAAATCGCCTCCGCCAATCCGATTGCGCCTCTATCCCCAATTTTACCGTTTCCACTCAATATCAGCTTGCCTATACAGGGGCAGCTTGACTGCGCAATAACTCTTCCCAATGTCACGGCGCCGTTATCGGAAATTGCATTGGCGCCGAAATCTAATTCCTCGACGCAAAGTCGATTGTTCGCCTTCTCCATGGCCATGGCGAAAGCATCAACTCCAATGTCTTTCAAACTGCAGCCACATAGATCAAGTCGTTGAAAAATAGGGTACTGCATTTTGTTCACTGTGTCCTTGGTGACGAGAATAGTTCGAATTGCAGCAGCCAAAGCTGATAAGCCTGCGTCACCAACCTTCGAATTTCCCGAAAGGGAGAGCGAAAGTGGCTGAAACTGCAGCTCAGTCTTAGTCACGCCATCAAGTGATTCTTCGGTGTCATGTTTTGGATTTATATCGCAAAAGCTGTCGTTATTTGGACTGCTGACGCGATGCATTAGACCCTTGGCAATGGCGCGACAGACGGACGGTCCAATTCCTGACCTATCTAGTCGCAGTACCTTCGGACAAACTTCCACATTCCTTATGAGTAATTCGAGTGCCTGACAAAAGGCTTGCGATCCTGGTGCGTCATGTCCAAGGCGATTCCAGCCAATGTCAAGGACGTCAACCTTCTGGCGCCGGCGATGGATCCTGTTTGGACGTTCGGCTCCACCGTCATCATCGTTTTTGCTGCGTTTGCTCCTAGCGGATTGCGTAAGAATTTGATCTATCAGTTGGCTGACGCCTTGGGCTGTAAGCCGATTACAACGAGCCACGAGGTGGATGGGACCTGCGGCCATTGTAGCGTCATCCATCAAGTTTGTCAAATTATTGTCGCGCAGTGACGAAGAACTCACGTCAATCTCGACGATATGACTTGATTCATCTACACTCTGATCTTGTATAAGCTTATGAATTGTTTCGATAAGAACGTTCTCGCGCAAATGACTTGTGTAGGAAAGATCTATTTGTGTAGAGCTTGGCGGTGCGAATTGTTCTGTCTTGTAGTAAAATGCTGAAGCACCAACGGGCGACAAACAGATAAACACCAATGGCCGAACAAACTGCATTCGATTTTGACTGTATGTGATGTGTGATTGATCAAGTTAAACAATGGTCGTCGCAGTGTAGGCAGTAGGCGTGGGTGGGAGGGGAAGGGTTAACGGGTAATGAAAAGGCAACAACTCGAATTTCCAAGCCCCTTGCTTTTTCAATCACACAGTCGTATTGAATTGAATTTGATTCGCTATAAATTATATCAATGACCAACGCCTCGATTGGAATGACTACAGCACAATGACCTATCCTTTCTTTCGCTCGACTATGCGAATCCGGGCATGTAGTTCAACTTCTTATACCGTCAACGGTATGTGAAGTAACGGTTTGCAGAGCCTTATATCATCCCGCAGTCGGGCGCAAACTGTATCGTGACTTCCAGTTCCAATTTCCAATGCCGAGGCTAAACTCCTTGCTTTTCACGACGAGCGACTACAATTACCAACCGTAGCCTTGTCATCGATCATGACGCCTTCAGCAAGACTATAATTATAGTTGGAGGCGCTTACAGTCGATAGATGTCCCTTGTTATTGGTGACTGCAGCCTCGCTTGCTGCTTTATCGCACTGTTTTCAACAAAGAACATGTGTTGCGTCTGTAGGCAAATTACGCATCGCGATGCCTTCGAGACGAAAACTTGAGCACTATAATCTATATTACAAGGAAAGTAGAAATGATGCTTGTATCCACAACACTATCAGACAGCCCCTTACACTTCCTCCGTATCGATTTCGCACACGCTATCATCGTCATGGTAATCGTTGTCATTGAGCCGTTCATGAACGCTCCATTTGAGGCCAAGCTCGTTGAGCTTGTCCACGTATTCCTGCTTAAGCTTCTTTTTCGCATACGCAGACCGCTGACGGTTAATCCATCGCCCAAGTGCTCGTGGTGGGTCGTCCGTCGTGCGATAATGCGTGCTAACGTTGCCATCCCATGGGTTCCCGTCTTTTGTGCATTCCGCAACAAACTGCTGCAGTGATTCAAACATTGATTCCCATGAAACAATCAGAAGCATGCTCCATCGTAAGCCAATTTGCTCAAGCTTCACTTGCCGGTCCTTTTTAAGTCGGCCGGCTTGATACAAACTACGTTGCCGGTTCACCCAACGACCCAGCAGCAGATCCTCGCCTTCCTTCACCTTTTTATTGGTCCGTTTGATTTGGTAGGACGCAGGAACATTGCCGTTCCATTTGCTATTCTGTGCTTTTTGCTCAGCAATGTAAATGCGCAGTTCTTCAAACATTTCGTCCCACTGGTTAGACGTAACGACACTCCACTTTAAACCAGCCGCAACGAGACGATCTTCACGATCCTCCTTCAAAGTGCCCTTTGCTTTAGACGACCGCTGGTTGTTAACCCACCGACCAAGTGCCTTCTCACCTCTCTTGTAGTTGGTTGGAACATGACCGTCCCAAACCCATGATGCGGCTTGCTCTGGTGTCAAGTTACATATTCCTTCCGTCCGACGCTCCTCTGCAAACTCCAACAAGCAATTGTACATTTCGTCCCACTTAAGGTCCGCTGCTGAACCGTTCTTAGCAGAGCTTCCTTTTTGGTTATTCGTCGATGCCACATCATTGGTAGAATGAACCGCTATGGGAAGCATGTCTTCCTCCTCGTCGTACTGGTTCCGTTTGTTTCTATTGGAAATCTTTGGGGTGGCATGACAAAGACTCACCGAAAGTGGAGCTACATCCGGCAAGGAAGTTTTGCGCCGACCTCGTTTCTTAAGTGGCTGGGCTGATGGATCGTGAGCAGGGTTTGAGCTGGCATGTAGATTGGCGCGTGTTCGCTCACGAATATCATCAATCTCTCGCTCGCTCAAAGAAGCCCCCTGCATAAAATTTTGCACGGAAGTCGATTGTTGAACAGCACTCTCCGCCCGACTGCGCTTTAACGGAAGCTTCCGCTGCGTATTGCGTATCCGCGAGCGTTCCGTACTGTGCCGAGACTGTACACTCATAGCGGCTGCATCTGCTTGCGCAATCGAGGCTGACGATGAAATGTCCGCCAAGTTTATGCCCGCAGACGCTGCTTGTGCAGCATCAACTGCAGCCTGAACGGCATCCAAATCCACGGATATCATGCCTGATCCAGTGCTCCAGCTGCGTAGTCGACCCCGCCGATGCGCGTCAGACGTTGCTCCAATCATCATTAAATTACTCACGACGCTACTTGATTCCGTTGCAGCTTCGTCATCTTCGTGTTCTGCCCGATGATTAATCGCAACATTCATATCTTCATTTTCGCTGTCAGGCCCAGCCGCTGATTCAACAGCACCCGCTAGTTCTGCCAATTGGTCGCCCATACTTGCCACTGCCGCCGCAACGTAAGCCTGTAGCTCTGCGCCACTGACAGCAAATTCTCCGTCTGTAAACAAAGGAATATTAAAAGCGGATACTTCGGAAAGTGAGGCAATAGAGAACTCTCGATCGCGTGTTAATGCAATGCGTGAAGGAATGGATCCAGCGCTGGTGGCAGCTGCCTCTGGATGTTGCGTGTCGTGTTCCTCGTCCAATGTCAAGGCAAAGCCGCCTCGATCCGATGGGTGATTAATTGCTGAGTAGTGTGGTCGATGCTGTGCATGCGAGGATGTTGATCCGGTCTGATGATGGCTAAGATGTTGTTGATTATGAAGCATAGCGGAATCCGCATGGGGCATGGAAATATCGCTCATGCCGCCCCAAGATTCGAGTCTATCTCGCCGGGCCGACATGTAATGCGATGATAATCGATGGTCATTGCCGCACTGGCTATCCGACTGCGAGGCCATCATTATGGCTTCCAGCAGCAATCGCTGTCCACTACTCGCAATGGTGGCTGAGCTGGAATTGTCGTCGACCGAGTCTTTTCGTTTCGTAGAATTTGCAATTGCTGCATGATTTCCTGTTGCAGCTGCAGCAGTCGGAGGTAATTCTGGGTTCACTTCCACTTCTTTAGCGGAAGCAGCAGCCGCAGCGGGTTCAAGAGCATCCAAATGATCAAGAGCCGAAGTTGGCAGCGACGGCAAGTGGTGCGCATTGCTTCCTCCCCCTCCATGGTACGAAACGTCTTGATTCTTGGGCGAATGAAAGAGTTCCTCCAATGTTTTCAGACCGGAGCTTGTATCCGATAATTTCCGTGAAGAAGCGATACTGGTATCCAAAAGAAATGTGGAATCAACGGACTCCTTATGAGGAAGTCGTTGCAGTAAAAGACTCGAAGCGTCATGATCAGTCGCCGACGAAGCTGCCAATGTAGGAATACCCGCTACAGCAAACTTGGCAGAATAATCATGTGATCCTTTGCGTTTTTTGGAAGGAAGTCTAGACATGTCTCGCGTTGTTGTTGTTGCATTGCTTCCAACGGTGCCTCCTTCGCGGTGTGTCGTTGTTGTACTGCTAGCATTGGACGCCTTGCGTTTTTTGGCGGGGAGAGATGACATGTGATTAACCGCCGAGGCCATGTTTTCCTACTGGTAGTTATTGAATAGGATAGCCGAACTGATTAACTTTATCTGTAACAAAAGATGCGAATATGGTTGCTAATCTCAACGATGCAATCGGCGGCAGGCATTATTTTTTGTCCTCATGGTCGACGTCCCGATGGTTCTTTCATTCTCACTTTTCCTGCGGATCGACTGGCACGCGAATAGGTCATGAGGGTCACTAGTATTGTAGCCATGAAGTATAGAAGATTGCACCCTTCGATAACAGCGTAAAAGCTCGTGTAGCTCAGTTGGTTAGAGCGTGGGTCTAATAAACCCAAGGTCGCCGGTTCGATCCCGGTCTCGAGTACAATATTTTTGGATCATTGACATGAGAACGTTTACGTTCATCACAACTGCTCTTATAGCGTGTTTTTTGTGTTTTGGATGTAAAGCTACTGTAAAGATCAATGAGTTGCTGGAATGGATGCATTTCCATTGTCACATTGCAACTTTAGTCGTTGGTGCGCTGAAAGGAGAGGCATTGGCGGAACGAGCTATGCTACAGTGCTTTTGCTTCTTTTAACAGAGTATAACATTCATAGTATGCCTACATTTGAGCCTAGCTTAAGTTTACAAGCCGGTACATACGATTGCTTGACGTACCCTTGCTGCCAAAAGTCAGAATAAAGCACGGTTTATTTTGCAAGTCTTCGTCTGCTCAAACAGCATATGCCTGAACCACAATGAGATCCTCCTCCTTGGGAGTATGCACCTCCTTGTTAATTTGATCAATCCCTCCTCTCGCGTCTGCTCCGATCGACTTCAATTTAGGGAGCACCTTGCGCAGATCATGCGCTTCAATCGTATCCTTGCCCCGACAAACCTTGACCAAGTCTTGCTCTGTTGTGTCTTCAAAGCATGCGGCTATACCAATGGTTTCGAACAAGTGACGGACAATATTATCAGCTTTGGCTTGCGCAAACGCCAATCCACCAAGTGTTTTTGGTAGAGTGCACACTTCAATCGCTTTTTGGCACATTAGAAATGCAACTGCGGTTCCGGCGCTTTCGACAAGTTCAATATCAGCTGGTGCAAGGAAATGATAGACTTCCAAACCTTCTTCTTCTTCTTGCTTTTCGCGAATTGCTTTCTTGGTCAACATAAGATTTGCATAGAGTGTTGGTAAATCAGATGCTGCTCGAAGTTGCTCCAAGTAATGGAATAGCGCAGGATCACTGGTTATGACAGCTGCTGTTCGTTTCGCCTCGTCATCATCTTCGGTGCTGTTGGAATGCTGACCTCGCCTCTTCTTTTTATTCGAGACCGCAACGTCCCGTTCGCGCTGGTTGCGGCGGGCGGAAGACATGTTGCGAGTAAGGAGAAGCTGGATGGACCAAGCGTCGAACGATGAAACGCGGAATTGTGTTGGGTCCTTCTGCCATCAAATTTTAAGTATGAGCTTTAAAGTAGGCTTCATCCGTGCGAAAAATTCGGTTTCACTTAACCCATGAATGAATTTCTCTGCCAGTCTACGTTATAGAGTACTTTCAATACTTAGCCCTTGCGGAAGCGCCGTGCAGTGTTGGCTAGAAAGTAAATTTTCAGATGCAAGTCACGCAAGCCGGGCCTGCGACATCTATGGCGCTTCCGTCCACCAAGACGGGTCGATCGAAGTGCCCGACGTCGTTCGTTCTACGTCCTGTACAGTAAATAGAGTCGTTACCATTCAAAAGGATGACTTCCACGTCAATGTAATGTATCTGCCGTCAAAATAGCTTGCTATTGAAATAACATTCATGTGGTGGCGGAAAGAAGACACGACCCAGACTTCCGAATCCGCAGCTGCGGTTCCTGGCAGCAGTTCGAAACGATCAGCCGTTTCCATGCTGTTGAGCAACAGTCGGTCCGCTCAAATGCGCAAGCAACTTATTCAGAAGCCAAACGCTGCTGTTGCTGCATTAACTACCGATACGCAAGCGGAGGAACCTGTCATGCATGTTTCTGAGACTGGTTCTGGCATTGAAGTCTCCTTTTCAGACGATCTCATTTCGTTACCCGAGCAATTGGCTGATGCGACCTCGCCGGCGAAACAAAACCCTGACAAGCGGAACAAAATAGTAGCAGCAGGTATAGTGAATCCAGGCCGTGGACGACAGCAGAGACTAGAGCAGGAGGGTGTAGTGTCGCTTCAAAGTCAATTATGGCATTGTCAAGCGGTTCATCAGGCGCAATTCAGCTATTCAACGCCGACAACCACAACAACGACAACTGCATCTATCAATACTGCGTATACGGGTATAGCATCATTACGAACAGAAGCAAATATGGAACATGTCCCTGATTATTTTACGTCGCGAGAGCATCGGGTTGGCTTGTTTGGAAGCGAGACTCAGCAATCGTCGTTCAAATTTGATGATGTGCTGTTCTTGCTGCGATCACATGAAATAATTGATGAAGCTACCTGTGTAGACGAGGAGCTGTCCCGGCTTGCCTCTGAGATTGATGCATTGCTGCAGGATCGAGCGGATCTTCAAGCCAAGACCAGGGCGCTGCGTTTGGTGGGCGTTCATGATGAGGATGCAGATGCACAGATGCAGCAACCAACTACACCAGCGACCCCCACCTTGTTCGACGTGTACCGACTATTGGCGCACAGTTCAAGCAACCTCTCCCACACGGAGCGGACGCGTCTTCAGACACTGCGTGGGCTCCATCTGACTTTGTCGCTTCATAACCAACTAGCCCGTGATGCTTTTCTCTCCAAGTGCGGCGCTACGAGTTCAGTCTTTAAGCAGAATAAGAAGAAGTATCAAAACATTGTGGAGATTTCACCAGACAATTGTCGCGACGGAGGAGCCGGAGCAACTATTCAGCACGTATCTTTGTTAAAATCATCCTTGACTGACGTAGCTTCCTTTTTTGTGAGCAAGGACAAGGGCAAAGCTTTTAGTTTCGGACACTTGCCGGAAAAGCTTTTTGACCGCTTAAAAAAGGCTGGTCATGATCCGAGCGACATCTTATACCTGGCGACTGGTCCGCTGGGAACCTACTATGCCGAATACAGAAGTGGCGAAAGCTGGTGGGGTTCACTAAGCGAGGATGAGCAATTTCATGCCATATGCAGCAATCCAGCCTGGAATATCCATCGTGTTGCGTTTGGACCACTTTTCGCAATATACGACAAGATGGGCGGTAAGCGCTATTTCACATCGTGGATTATACTTGGCCGCGATGGCCGCGCTGCCTGGAGAAATATTCCAACGAGACTGCAACATCTTTTGGAGCATCGACTAGCGAATGCCCCTGCGTGCTGCGAAGTGACCCTGGGGTGCGGTGGAGCATACTTTGTTCGGTTCTTGGATGGAAAGACTGACTACTGCTTACCAGCTGCCGCTGCAGGGGCATGTCGTACGTTGGAGATGCGAGGGGCATCCATCATGTCTATAACGCTGCATCCGGAGCTCGCCCATGACTTTGTCATTAGGAGTAATGGCTAAGAGGCTTTGTAATTAATGCTACGAGTAATTTAAAACATCCTGTGTTACTGTAAAGAATGAATTTGACAATTATTTGTTGTGCTTTGCCTTTAGGCTTTGGACAATCGCACTCAGGGCCTTGGCCCCAGAAGCATGCTTTACCAATTCGCAGGCAACATCAGGCGCCGCAGATTTTGACACAGACGGACGCCCCCGTTGCTTCTTGCGACGGCGAGATTGCTCCTTCAAGATCTTCAGCATGCCTGCCGTCTTTTTAAAGTTGCTGTCTGTCTGATCAATTCCAAACTTATCATCCGCTCCATCTAAGACAGCCTGGAACCGACTATCACTAACATCAACGTCGAAAGCGGTGCCTACAACAGCATCGGCGCGTTCCATCTCCTTCCGTTTGCGAGACCCTTTTAAAGTTTTTCCTGCGTTCTTTTCTAGGCGCTGCAGCTCACGCATACTGAAGTCCGTTTGCGAGTCGTCGTTTTCCTCGCCTGCAACGAGCAACTCGAGAGCCGCTCGGTTATTCTCCGCGCCACTTTCTCGGCCATTATCATCACTGGCGCTGCCATCCGACGTCACGACGGTTCGTTTACCTCTTGATGTCAGCCGGCGCTCCTGGCGCTTCTTCTTCCTCTTCTCCTTATATTTCTCCCAAGGTGTCAGCTCTCCAGACACTTTTGAAGCAGCCAACTTCTCGTGTATCATCTCGGTCAAATCCCCTTTCGTAGTACCAGGAATAAACTTGACTTCCTTCTCGTATTGCACCGATTCGTGAAAACCTCCATCGTCATTTTTAGTTAAACCATAGTTTTCTCTTACACTGCAATCATTCGGATCCTCCAAATCGTCGCTGTCGCTATCCAGTCCAAGATTTTTGCGCAGTTGCATAGCCTTGTCACCATCTTCCTCCTCGTCACTAGATGCATCTGATGCCAAGTAGGCTTTTAAGTCTTCACTCTCGGCAATGGCACGCCAATGTTCGCCCGAGTTATACTTTGTTAAGGTTCGCTCACGATCTGGATCAGGCAAATCCCAGGTGCAAGTAACATTCGTCTGCTGTAGAGCCGCAACAATAAAGTCTGGAGGCGAATAATTGCTTGGAAGAGACGACGCTTCGTCTCGTAATAGACGGTCTGTAATGATAGATTCCAAGTCAACTTCCGGAATTGCTCGTAGGTCAATTTCAGCCGATGAATGCTCAAACTCCATCCCATCGACTTCGCGATACGCCTTCTCGGCTGACTCGACGCTCGCAAATTCAGCAATCGCAAAGTAATATCGCAGTTTAGATGCCTCATAATTCCGAAGCTTCTCTCGGTCAAAATCAGACTCGACCTTTGCGGCCGCCGTAGGCCGAATGTCGTCGTATCCGTCGCTGCTTAAATCATCGTCGTCAGCAGCAGATTCGATCTCGTACCCAGCCCCTTCGTTCTCATTTTCTTCACTGGCTGCAGAAGTACTATTTTTCCAAACACCGGAAGGTCCAAATCGCTCCAGATCGGCAAGCTTCTCTTGACCAAAATCTGATACAAAAACGCTCACTTGACGTACACTGCCAGCTGGACAAAACGAGGAAAGGAGCGCGTATATATCGAGGGCGCGAACACTAGTCCAGTCCATATTTGTAACCGCAAGATATCTCGTCGATTCCTCCGTGATTTCAATCTCCTGCTCATCATCGTTGCTCCTATCGAATACGCCGCCAGCATCCGCTTCGATCTGATCGGAGCCGCCATTAGAGCCATCATCGTCGCTCGAGGACGAGTCTGAATCTCCCGAGCTGTCATCATCGGACGATGACGACGATACATCAAGTTGTCCACGTGAAAGCGCCTTCAAATATGCAATGCGGGAGGCAGATCCAGGCTTATCATCGTCGTCGGTCGATGCATCGTCTTCATTCTGATTTCGGCTGTATTTCTTGACTGTTTGTGTTTTCCTGTCTCTTAGATTGTCAAGATTATCTTGATCCACAACGGTATAAAAAGCACTGAGTTCTTCCTTTGCAGAATTGTTCTTTTTGTTCGCTTTGCGCCCATACTTGTCTTGGACCTGCAACTGGAAGCGGTCGTCCGTCAGCACCGAGGCGAAGCGCTCATCGAGAACCACCTTTGAGGATGCCTTGGCGGGAGCTCGAAATTGCGGACCGGACGTGTCAAACCGTTTACTATCGACACTACTGGAGTCTTCATTATTGTCATTGCTGGACGGCGGCTTTGTTGTATTGGGTCGTTGCGCCATAGTCGAGCTGTTGCGCCTATTGTATGGAAAGAAAATGTGAGCAATTCCGGTGGCTGCAATCGTGTCGCGGTGAGACAGCTATGTACTGTGCATCCGACTACAGTACGGTATAGTTTACTCATCAGCAATGTACAAGTACACCGGTAGACTTGCAAAAGTAAGTCATTGCGAAGCACAATCCTTCCTCCACCGGCATTGTAAATTCGTTGAGACTCTCTCTACGTTGCTATCGCCAAGCAAGAAAACATTCGACAAGTATAAACGGCCGCAACGTATTGACTACATCGAAAGTCAATTTACCCAAGGGCTTCATCGCATCTTCCAGCTACCAAACCCATGGGAGAGTGGTCACCGACTGAGCAGAAATTCTTTCCAAACGTTGATGTTGGTAGACTGGCTACAACGATGCAGTAGTGCCGCATGATGAGCATCCACTCCTCCACCTCATCCAAAAACTCGCATCGATTCGCGTGCTGCCGCTGTGTTGGCGTCAAGACCGTCTCAAAGGCGACCCACATGTCGCAACCTGCCGCGCAAGAAATGCCACTCTGAACAAGGTTGTCAATGTGTTGACTCAAAGTTCTAGTTTGCACCAATGTGGATGCGTCACTGACGACGCCAGCTCGCGTAAGATTCGTCTCCATGACTTGTCCAAATTGATCCGTCCCAAGTATTGGTTCATACAAGAAGATGCATGCGTCAGTGCAGACCGTCGCGATTTCTTCGAGCAGTCGACGGGTTGCCACTTCGGGCAGGTACATCAAGCAGCATTCCAGAATGACTAGCGTCGGTGCCGATGCGTCAAAGCTACACGCCGTCAAACCGGCAATCAGTGTACCGATATCGCCTCGTAAATCATGTGCAACTAGATGATATCGGCCCTTCCATGGAACTTCCTCTCCTTCCTCACTGTCAATGAAGTCCATGGTGACGCCACCTTGATTGTTTGTGTGCGCAGCTAGTGTTCGAAAGAGTCGTTCTGACCGTTTGATCGTCTCCAACTTGGCCGAGATGACAGCTTGATAGTCAACATCAAACCAGTGACAGTCTCTCTGCGTTAACACTCCGCTAATGAGTCCGGCTTGCAGGCGAAAAAACGTTGTATCGTTTCCAGCGCCAAGCACTACCACTTGCGGCGGCTTGGTCGTTTCATGCTTGCTAAAAAGGTTTAAGAAACTGACAAGCGCACGTTCAACACATGCAACCCGAGCAAAGCTTCCTCGCTTGATAATGGGCTGGACAGTTGGTGGAGCATCATGGTTGTTGTTGCGATTGGATGCTGCTGCGAAAGCTGCCACGAATGGATCCTTGTAGTAGCCAGCCTTGACAGCAGCGGCCTTGGCGCGAACAGCATCATGCGCCGTCGACTGGATCCTACTGTCCATGCTTATACTACTACGTGTTTCACTTGTCATAGTATCGAGGTATATGTGAAACTTGGATGGTTAGATGAGGTGTTGATATATGGAATCGGATTCGAATGATGGCGCGCCACATTTCTTTTACCTGGTACCGGTGCGATGTGCCGGTAAGACATCGCAAAGTGCCTACGGTAGTAGTGCAGTTCAAGTACAAGTACTGCACCTTACATCGACCAATACTACTCAACACCGTGCTTGTACATAGTAGCATTGATGTACCGGTAGCTAATTCGACGCAGCACTGGATAGCTCTGACCAAAAGCCATCAAGGGAAGCTACAAATCGTTTTCGCAAAAAGTATCTTATCAGTGGAGTGGCCGAAATGATTTCTGCTTATATTCATACATATAAAAACATGTTACACATTCTGGTGTTAAGCTACCGATAGTCGCTCAATCATAAAAAGCTCCTGGCCGCTTGATATTCCCGTCTCGATTAAGGTTTGACCTGCATTCTCTGCAGACAACGACAAGACTCTCCTAGGATACCGTGTCACCAACTGGAAGCAAGGTTCATTTGTAATGGTGCATGCAAATGCAAATAAATCAGATAATGTGGATGTCGTCAGGTCGAAACGCCGTCGTCCATTAATGCCTTCAGCTCCTCGAATTTGAACATGACAAACATTTGCAGCATCCGCAGGTGGTTCCGGTAACAACTGCACGTTGTAATCATTATGAGCGGTACCATACGCGATAGTCGCAGCAGATTGTGCATTGTCATGTCGACTCGCGTCATTCAATGTTCTGCCCCCTGCTCCTGCCCCAGCCGCAGCATCCGCAGACAATCCACCCCGCTGCTCATCGTTCGTATCATCGCTGTTGCTACTGCTACCAGTAGAACCAAATTCAACTTCCAAGTCCGTGTTAAGCGAAAGCACTGCCCGATATGTCGATGGCCGTACCGCCGAGACATTTAGCTCGAACTTTAATCCTCGATGCCAGCCTGCAACGGTGTCGCCAACAGTCAGCGTCGCGCGCGTCCGCACTAGCGACTGCTCCAAGACGAGCTTTACATCGTCTAAATGATAGAATCCGTTTCGAATGGCTTTGTGTGTTGGAACCAACATGACGCCCCGTCCCTTGGGAAGTTTAACAAGTGTAATCTCAATGGGCATGTTCGGCAAGTCAAATGCTCCCCACGCGAGGTGACCAGGAGTCTTTTCGTCCCCGTCAATAGCATCCTCCAAGCCAGTATCTATCAATTGTTGCTGTACTTCTGCCTTGTCGAGAGTGGCAGCGGCCGAGTCGACGGTTCGAAACGTTGGAATGGAGGGACGATTTTGTCGTTGTTCTTGTTGTTGCGTGTGATTAGCCATTTTGAGTAGCGCAATAGCAATTGGCTCCGGTAAACCCACGCGGCCTTCCTCCTGTGTGAATTCAACCACTGTTGCATGCGTGTAAGCCAAATACTTGTAGTCCAGTTCATCCAAGAATGCAAATGCTGCTTCGCTCATCTCATCGTCGTCCGAATCGTCATCAAGATGACCATCATCATCGAGCATTTTCAAAGCCTTCATAGCTGGTGACGCCGGAAAAGTGTAGTTTGGATCGCAAATGCCGACGCGGAAGGTCCAAGGCGTAGAATCGGATGACGACGCAGATGATGAATTATCAGCCATTGTCAGCTGCTCCAAAACGCTGGGCGGCATGGCAATCTTGTCTCCGTGCCCGTAAATTGATGTTGGAGTCAACGAACTCAAGTACCTGGAACCCAATTTCATCTCGTTCCGTAAAACGTATTTACGCATATACTCAGCTTGCCGCTTGTCTTGCTCGCGTTGAGCAGTCATGGCGGTTTGCTGATTTCGACGACTTTCGGCCTCGCGCTTTGCTTGGGCTGACAATTCAACTGGACGCCGACTGCGATTTTGATTGCTCTGATCGCGTGCGAGACGCTTGGCGGCAATGGTAAAGTCCATGTTAAAAAAGGTGTAGTGTGAAATCGAATCACTTTATGAGAAAACAGGAGCAACCTTGCTTGTTCGATGGCATTCGACCGACGCCGCGACGTGCGGCTTAACCGGTGTGACGCCCGAACCCGGCTCAGTCAAAGATATCAATGGCGTCATCATCCTTTGTCGCGGACCCATTAAAAACAGCTACAAGTACAAGCACTCGTAACATCATGCAGACACAGGAGGTTACCATGGAATCAGCTTCCGTTACATTACACATGTATGTATCGTATTAGATGCACTTCAGTTCTTCCCAAACTTGAAGTTAAAGCCAAAAGTATGCAAAACGACATGAGCAGGATTCGAACCTACGAGGGAAAATCCCAACAGATTTCGAGTCTGTCGCCTTAACCGCTCGGCCACCATGTCGTGAAACAAATGCCAAGCTATTAGCTATAAGAATCCACCAGGGAATTAATAACGCGAGTGACTCGGGGTAGCCGAGAATGATTGCCGGCCTTCAAGGTGGTACAACATGTTCATCGGACTGTTCCAAAAGCACTGATGACGGCGCTGCGGGAGCGACTATAGCGCCGCATATGCTGCTGTGTTGATAGCTAACTTAGTTTATGCTTGGCTTGCGAGACTTTACAGTTATTGCATTTTGTAACTTGGAACGAGTAGTAGACTGCGGGCAGGAAATATTGCACAGGACATTGGCTATCATATTTATATTAGCCATATGATTCATGGCCTGGATGATACATGTGCTATTACTGTACCAAAAAACCTCGTCACTTGCAGCTGTCGCAAAAGTAGTCGCACCGGTTCTAACTTCGCGTGGTTTCGGATGTTGCGTGGATCTCACTTCCACACGCGCCGACCTGCATGTACCTTCTTCCTTTCTCGAGGTACAAGTAGCTCGACTCGCTAGCCATCTATCCTCTCTTGCCTGCAGCTGTCAACTATACTGCTCAAGATCTCTGTGATCTGATCATGTCATCCAACAGATTCCTGGCTCCCACCATGGCCGGCCAGTCCAGCCGAAACTTTTCGCTTGCCAATACTGGACGACGGGTCTCCAGCTGGGAGCTGAAAGGAAACGAGTTCGCGTCGCGCGTCAATGATCAAAAGACACCAAGTGCTCTGCAGGGACGACTCGAAGAGAATTTGGTGTTTGAGCTCGACGAATTCGGGTGAGTACTGCTGTAATCTGTGATTCCTATAGCTCCTGAAGAAGAATGTGTGACGCTATTGTTCTTGACCCTCTGCGTGTCCTGATTGATTCACCTTTTTACTGTGTGCACCTACAGACAGACGCAGTATCATCATATGAGCGTTAGGGCCCTTTACAAGTATGTCTTGGCGGCAATCACCAAACCCCTTCATCCGCCAAAGGAGACTCAACTCCTGTCGCTACGTGTCAGCGGCAGCGGCGGCGACGACAAGGACGCCAAAAACATGACTGCAACAAGTACAGTCTCAGTTGGCGAACAAGAGAAGCAAGTATCATTTGATCCATTTGCTGTTGACGATCGCAGAGCGGCTATTCTACAAGCCGAAGCCGCAGCGGCCGCTCGATTGATTGAGCACGAGGGCGACATTTCATATCGCGAGCGGCTGGGTGGCTGGCTCCATCCACGCGACATGCGTCGGTTGGTGACTCCCTTCTCGGCTTCTAATGAGCCAGGCATTATTGTACGAAGACACGTCATGCTACTGAACTTTGATCCGCTGCGCGCCATTATTCTGCGCAACTGCCTGCTCGTATTGTAAGCTCATCTTTGTATTTTGGTACGATCGTTGCTCCAGCGAGTCAAACACTCTAACGGTCACTTTTGTTCTACAGGGTGCCAGAAGGTGCGGACTCGATTCTGATTCAATTGGAGCGGCGAATTCGGGGTGGGTCCATGGAGGTGGAAAATTCCATCTTTGGCAGCGAGTGTGGTGATGGGTCAGGGGAGGATGAGCTCGCATCCGCCGAAGGATCATCGTCGTACAAGGCACTGCTAGAGAAGGAGAAGGATAAGAAACCCGGGGGTATGGACAATGTTGCGTCGAAAGGTAGCCCTCATGGTTCCTCGCGCTCCAGCAACTTGGACGAAAGCACACAAGGCAAAAAGACGACGAAACGTAATGGCTCGACGCGACATGACACTGATGCGGCCACGTCTGTTGCTGAGAGCGACACCAACTCGGAATGGGACGAGATGCAAGCCAACGATTGGACAGATTTGCCATTTGAGCTACAGGCCGCCGACTCTGTCCTCTACGTTGTATGTTCTATTCTTTCTCAAGACGCCTATCAGCTACAGGAAGACACGCTTGGATATATTCACGAAATTTTGAATAGTCATTCGGGTCTACAGGACGATCCATTGAATAGCATTCGGCACATTAAGGATTCGGTTCGCGAGATGAGTTCGAGAATCAAAGGCTTTGTCCAGTCGATGAATAGAGTTTTGGATGATGATGAGGACATGGCGCTTATGAATTTGTCCAGACTGCGAACACACCCGCATCGCTTTCTCAAGCCAGTGACAAAGGAGATACTGGATGAGGAAGCAGATGAGCCTGAGTTGATAATGGAAGCGCATTTACAGATTGGTTTGACATTACAGAATGCTCTCGATCTGATTCAGGGACAAATCGACACTGCGTCCGAGCTTGTCGATCAAAAGCTTGATGCTTCCCGCAATCGCCTGCTATTTACGAACATGGTGTTGAACTTGCTGACCCTTTGTGTAACAATGGGCACTTTTATTGTCGGTGCGTTTGGGATGAATCTGACTAATTTTTATGAAAACTCGCCCTTTGCATTTGGACAGATTGTGTGGGGCACAACAGGCGGAATGATGTTGTGTTTGGTGCTCATGCTTGGGGGCCTTGTTTGGTTGGGGATTGTGCCGCGAGCTATCTTTCACGTTTAGTGTAATGGCGTGTGAGCTTGGAAATGAGGGTATCAACTCAGGTAGTACGGCTGCATTTTCCAGATAAGATAACTGTATAAATGAAATACTATCGTAATGTGCCTAGGAGTCAGCAAGGCATATACAAGCCTTACAGGCATCAACCCATGAAGCCCACCGTCAAACGACTCAGTTCGTTGGCTCCTTCCAATTTGACCGACGACGTGACGACGCGGTAATTCCGCCTCCGAACCAATTCACACGCGGCTTTTAACCTGAACAATTTCATAAGAAAGCAAGCGCCGGGCATGAGTCTTACGCGCCAAGGCCACTGTAATTCACTGCGTGACGTGTATTCCTATATCGCGCATCGCACTTACAAAAAGTCGTTTCGCAGCTGGCATCGCTCCAACGCGAGTCCTTGACCAGCCCACAATGTGGCCGGCGCTTGAAGTTTCAGAACAAAAGCCGTTGAAGATGAATCTCGAGAGACGCTCCCATCCCATGCGAATCCGTTAATGACAAAGAGCTTGACCAGTTGGGTCAGCGCATCGAGAAGCTGGTCTGCGTAAAAATATTCAACGAGAGTTGAGACTCGTTAACCATAAAAATGTCTTGTTTTTCACTAGGTGATTTCTTACCTACATCGGCATCTCCTTTTATAGCATTGTTCCACTGTGGCAACGAAATAGGAGTATTTCCGTAGACTTCCTCGAAACGATCAATGATGCTGGCCCCGACGATTTGTGCATGTTTGCTCGCGAGCAAGTCGTTGGTAATAACCGGATTACGCTTGACAAGTTCATCAGAGAACTGTTGCAAACCATTCTCGTCGCCTCCTTGCGTTTGAATCGGTTGCTTCTCAATAAAGACGGAAGGAGGATCCTTTGTGATTTCTCGGTTGATGGTTTGGTATTGTGCAAACGAAATGAAATCAAAGTAATATGGGTCGGTCAAGTCCCCTTGCTGGACGATGCCTGGACCGAGTGCGTTGACATATGGTTCGTACTCGGCTGTGTAAAGAAGAGGGAATGGTGAGTTTAAGCGTCAGTCTTGCGTCTTGGATCTTGGACACTGTGACAACTGCAATCGCTAATGGACGCCTTGCTCCGTAGATATTACAACAAGTACACGTACCTTGACGAATAAGAAAGAAATCACGTTGGAACTGATCCATGGCGACACAATCTATTTCATCGAGGGCATTATAGCTTGATCGCATAAGTAAAACGGCAAAGTCTAGCTGTAGCTTGGGTCGTAGCGCCCGGATCGGCTTGGGGCGAGCTGCTCGCAATAACCTCGCGGACGCACTATGGGTTTCAGCTTGAGTGATTGGAGCAGCCGCTCGGGATGATTGAGTGAGTGACAAGAATGGTGTCATAAATCCAACGTTTTGAATGAGTTTCCTTCGTGTAAAATGTATGGTAGAATCGTCAACCGATGAGTATGTTAAAAGTTCCTCTGTATGAGGTATAATTGCAAGTGAATGCACACTTGCACAAAGGATTGCCAAGATCAGTACTCTTTTCTTGCGCCGCATCCTTTTCCCCCATTGTTCTTTGAGCATGTTTGCTGCCATTACTCTTGTCCGACTTGTCCAATCTCCATGGTTTGGGTGGGGCGCGACGCAATGAAGATTTAGTCACGGTCCGACAAATTATTATTTTTGCGCCGGCACGGTTACATCATTATCATCCTACCGGTACTTACATTCGCTCTGGCGCACCATGGTAGAACTGCATTTCACATTTCACACATTAATCACACTATTTACTATTCCAAAACGCTTCACAGTCGAACACCAAGTGATGACAGACCACCAAGAGACGCATATAGACTCAAGAGTAATAGAGTCAGTCCAGCAGCGACGTTTTCGGCAGCGAAAACGGCCTCTGTCTCTTCACCATTCCAACGACAGTCTCGTCGTCACTGCAAAGGTTGTTCCGCTAGTGTTTCCTGACAACAATGATGATGAATCCTCTGCTTGTCCACGCAGTTTGGTTCGCGTCGTTGAGCCATACCCATGGTCTTTTTCGACGCACGCCAAGCAGCGATGGATCGGCCGTCCACTTGTCCATGTATACTCGACCGACTTTGGCGCCTATCCTGCCTCATACTACGAAATGGCAATACTTCAGGGACGCATTCTTGTCAACGATACCAAAGTTGATCCAAACTACTTGGTAAAGGATCGAGACGTTCTTTCGCACTGCGTCCACCGACATGAACCAGCCGTTGGCGTTTACAATGAAGACACCCTCGTTAATGTTGTACAGGAAACGGATCTGCTTCTTGTCGTCGACAAGCCACCAAACATGCCCATCCATCCTTGTGGAGCATATCACAAGAACACTCTTGTTGATATCTTGGATACAACTCGAAACACTAAGCATTATACCATACATCGACTCGATCGACTTACCTCGGGATTGGTGCTTGTTGGCAAGACGAGCGAGGCAGCAAGAAAGTATGTGTCAGTCATGCAGGAGCATCAAAGTCAACGAATCGATGAGAATGTAG